GACTCAATGGACATGAGTTTGGGTAAACTCTGGGAGTTGGTGATGGACAGGGAGGACTGGCGTGCTGCGATTCATGGGGTCGCAAAGAGTCGGACACGACTGAGCGACTAAACAGAACTGAACTGAAAGTTGTAAGAACAGCACAAAAGATGTTTCCCTGAGCTCTCTGAGAGCAAGCTGCCAGTGTCCTGTCCCATTACTTCAATACGTGGTGTGCATTTCCACACACAAAGACAGCCTCCTCCTCAACACAACCCTACCATCAAAACCAGGGTGTTAATACTCACACATGTTCACTGTCATACTCACATACTACTCAAGCTTTATGAATAAGACCCTAGTCTCTAGAGAACCTCATACCACTAGAATTTCCTTTTAACATCCTAGCTGCTTATCTTTGCTATAAAGTCCTGTCAAATGCCCACCCAGTTAAATCCTGACATTCGAGTTGGTTAAAAAAAAAAAAAAAAGTTTACCTACATACAGCACAGGTAACTCTACTCAGTGTTATGTGGCAGCCTGGATGGGAGGAGAGTTAGGAGGAGGAGAATGGATACATGTATATGTATGACTCAATCCCATTGCTTTTCACCTGAAACTACCACAACATTGTTAATCTGTTATACTCCAATATAAAATAAGGAATTTTTTTTTTAAAATCCCAAGTTGTCCCGTCTGTGTGTTTTCTTGCAGAAGTAAGTCGCTCAGTCAACCCCACATGGATGCGCTTTGAGGAACCTGAGGAATTTCACTCCCAGGACCAGCCCCGCTCCAACCACAAGTCTCAAACCAGACAGCCCGAGGTGTACTTCAGAGAGTGAGCAGTGCTCCTTCAACAACCTCTCTCTGCTCCCGGGTCTGGCGTGAGCTCAGAGAGGCGGAGTCTTGGTGCTAACCACCGGCAGGCGACTGACTGGCCTCAGGTCAGGTCACACAGAGGCCAAGGCTAAGGAACAGCCCTGGTGGCAGCCCACTGCTGGTTCAAGACACCATGGGAGGCAGTCAGCAGTGGACATGTGGGCCTTGGAGCCAACCCGCCACTGGTGGCTACTAACAGGTTCTAATGGAACCGTGGTTCTCTAGGCAGCCTGGTCAGTACTTGGGCCTCAGGTGACCACTGAGAAGACAGTTAACCTTTGGGGCTGCAGCAGGTTCCAGCTGCTGTCAAGAAGTAGCAAGAAAGATAGGTCTTTGATAAAATACCTCCCCAGCTAAGAAGATTTAGCACATGGCTTGACAACACCTCACTTGCATGGTTTTAGGAGTCAGGTCATGGAAATATCAAGGCCAGGTCAGAGCCCAGGGATGTGCTGAGCCTTTAAAACGTTATCTGCACTCTGCCAGGAGAAGCAATTCATAAGGACGGTTCCTTGTTATCACTGGAAAAGTTCTCTTTGACTGTTCATGACCATGAGCTGAATAGGAGAGATCTATGGTTGCATGTATGCATCAGTGCACAGCCTGTATGCAAAGAAGTACTCATGTTGTTTTACTTAATCATAAATTATTAAAAGAAAAAAAAGAATGTTATTTGTTTACTAACAGAGAGCTCTTCGGGGGGAAGGCACTGCTTTTTGCCTGAGGGCTTCCCAAGCGGCACTAATGGTAAAGAGTCTGCCTGCCAATGAAGGAGACAGAAGAGAGTCAGGTTTGATCCCTGGGTCAGGAAGATCCCTGGAAGGAAGGCAGGGCAACCTAGTATTCTTGCCTAGAAAATGCCATGGACAGAGGAGCCTGGCGGGCTACAGCCCATGGGGTCGCAAAGACTTGGACACGACTGAGCATGCCTACACGCACTGCTTTCTGTCTAACAAAGGATAAGAAGTGATTGAATTAAACTGGTGACCAACCTCAACCCAGTGCAGGAATGTAAAAAAGCAGGAGAGGTTCTATGGATCACAGGTGTCTGCAGCTAGAGATCTCAACACGTATGTGGTACACAGGGACTTTGCTAGAAAATCTGTGCTGTTTTGTCCCAAGCCAGGTGTCTGCCCGGGAAATCTTAATCTGACTTTAACCACAGCAGTAGAATCACAAACTGGATGATGTCATGAGTAGCTATTAGAAGGTTGACACATGTGGTGTGGTTTCTGAGCCTGTTTTCACTATTTCTCATGCACGGTGGAGAGAAAATACATTGGCTCCGTAATCCACCTAGGATCAAACTGGAATTCCGACAACACACAGGTCACAGCGATTTAAACAGGAAGCTTTGGAAGGCTTAGCTCTAAAGACCAGCGGGAGGCAGGAGAGGATGGGGAAAGTCTTCACACTTTCCTTCTCAACACTGATGCTGTGGCAGGTCTGATGATGGAGAGATAAGTCACTCCACCACAGTGACCTCTAGTTGGGCGCCTCCCTTTTCAGTCACACTGCTTGAGGGGTCGATGGAGGACTCAAGCCCAGATAACAAGGTCTCTTTGTCCAAGAAAAGCAAGCCTTTGGGTGAGCAGGGTAAACACATCAAAGCAAAAAAGACCAACCACGAAGGGGGGCATTTCTCCCAGGCAATGGGAATACTGGACCCCATGAGCCTTTAGAGAAGGGGTCCCTAATCTCTGGGATCTAACGCCTAATGATCTGAGGTGGAGATGATGTGAGAATGAAAGAAATAACATGCACAATAAATATAACATGTTTGAATCATCCTGGAACCATCCTCTCCCCTCCAGTCTTGTGGAAAACTGTCTTCCAAGAAACCAGTCCCTGGTGCCAAAAAGGTTGAGGACCACTGCTTAGACTATAAATATTAACTGCTGTGGATAGATACGGATGTTCAGAACATAACTTGGTTGGTGTTTTTACAGTAAATAACGGTTGGTGCAAATGTTTCCAAGGCTTGACGGGGGAGGAAGGGTGGTTAGTCCCCAGAAAAGGAGCACGGCTCCCCAGCACAGCTCTCGAGTGCCAAGGAGAGCTGCACAGAGAGAGTTACAGAGGAGCGAATGCTGATTCTATTTAAGGAAGAGCTTTCTAGCAATCTGTGTTCTCCCAAAATGGAACTAGCTGGCTCTGTGGAAGGAGACATGAGCCTGCAGAGCTGGGTGGCCATCTGTTGGGGCAGGGGAGAAAAGACTGGCACTCCACACGTGGACAAGCTGGCTGAGTGATGCCCCTGAGTCCTGGGAGTCCCAGAGACTGACCATGGCTCATGGAAAACCGAACCAGAGCACAGATGTGCTTGACAGCTCAGCTGTCTTCTCGTTCTAAAAGCTGAAGGGAGGAAGGACAAGCTGTTCAAGGGGATTTGTGGGTAACTTGGAGGTCTACCTTCACCTTATTTCACTCCCCGGCAATCCATCCCATTTCTGGGTGTTTCATTCTTTATTGGACTTCCCCAATAGCTCAGAGGTAAAGAATCCACCTGCCAATGTAGGAGATGCGTGTTTGATCCCTGGGTCGGGAAGATTCCCTGGAGGGGGAAAAGGCAACCCACTCCAGGTTTCTTGCCTGGAAAATCCCATGGACAGAGGAGCCTGGCAGGCTACAGTCCATGGGGTCACAAAGAGTCAAACATGACTTAGCGACTAAACAACATCATTCTTTACTAGAATCTTGAGAATATATTTTTTAAAAATGATAAGAAAGAAGACAAAACAAATCAACAATGTTGAGCATCTCCCAAAAAAAGGGACTTGAGTGGATGAGGAAAAGAAGAAATAAAACTAAGTTCAGGGCACTCCTAAAGTATTTACCTAGTCACGCTTTCTGAAATTCTAGATCACAGTTAACGGAGAGTTATACGCACAGGACAACAGTGTTTCTTTCAAGTGACAAGCTTGGAAAAAAAGACAAACGGGTGTCACTTTCATGGAAAAGAATCAGACTGCTCATGAAAAGCGGAATTTCTCCATCAGGCAGAGTCTACAGTAGCTGATGTGACCCACACGCAGGCCAGTGTCTCATTTCTCTTTCAGAGTATAGAAATAACCTAACCCATGACACAAAATTACTCCCCAGTGGGTGAAGGCTTTGTATGGTTTCAAAGAAAGTCAGTTGACTTTTCAAGATTGCAGAAAATGAAAGATGAATACTTTGCAACACTCATCACACTCAGAGCTTAATTTTCCTTTCAGTTTCCCTACCCGTTCCCCTCCCTCAAATGAAACTAATTCTCAGGTTAGAAATAAAAAGGAAAACTTCAAGGACGTGTAACATGGGTAATAACACTGACCTATTTCGAGAGCAAACTCTCCCGTGACAGTCAGTGGTCTCAGGGTCCACTGTACGGTGCTCACGGAAGGAGACACCATGGACCTGACCTTCAGGAAGTAACTCTTACTCCCTCTGCAGCTGGGACTACTGCAAGGAAGCCTGATGCCCACACGAAGGCGAGACCAGACACCATCAACTCCAGTGGGCCCAGGTGGCCTCTCTCATGTCCAGACACCAGGGAAGGGGACAGGCGCATGGGAAGAAAGCCAGGTACCCAGCTGGCCCCCTGTGAGTCACCCCAGCGGCCTCGGCATCATACCGCCCCCTCTGAGTCCCCATCTTAGCTGCCACCGTGTGCAACTGTGGCATGAAATGCCACCAACTCAACAGGGGGAAACAATTCACCAGGTTCCAGGTGCTTTTCACCATCTCCTCCTCTACTTGCAAACGTTCCATGCACAGGATTTTGTGGGAGAAAAGACTGGAGGGAATGACCCGGGTGGAGCTGTAGATGTGCCTGGAGGGGCTAATTCCCATCTCAGGCCCCTCCAGAACATTGATGCCAGGAGACTGAGATGTGCAGGGGGGGAGGTGGAGGTTCAAAACACACAGAAGTGTCAGCTTACAGAAACCTCCAAACTTGAACATCTTAAGGAAACGACAAACAGACCATTTCTGCACTGCATCTCTCAAAGTCCAGAGACTTGAGAAGTAGAAAGATGCCTTTTTTCCTCAAACACAAATGAAAATGACAACTCCTCCTACTCCCCGCCCTGAGAGTGCCCACCCTCTAGGATGGGACGAGCTGGGATTCAGCCCAGGGTCCCGCCACGCCCGCCACTCACCGAGAGTGTCCTTGATGTTCTTCACCAGGGAGCCCTTCTTCAGGCTGTTCTTCCTCTCCACGTAGTTGGACGGCACATAGCCTGTCCGGTTGGCTGCGTTGCGAACCCGCCACCACGTCTTGGAGTCGTCCAGTAGCCACAGGCGCTCGTTCTTCTTGATGTCCAGCTCCTGATCCTGCTGGGCCGTGTAGTCCCACTTGGCTATGACGATGACCTCCTCTGTCATCTTTCATGGAGTCCTTCTGCCAGCAAAACATTTGTAAGAGAGTCATTAGAGCTCTGGCCAAACACCACTGCATCCACTTGGAAAACTACGCCCTGACAGCTTTTATTACAACTTGGCAACCATCAAAAAGAATGAAGTGACGCCATTTCCAGCAACATGGATGGACCTAGAGATTATCATACTGAGTGAGGTAAGTCAGACAGAGAAGGGGAGATATTGTATGACATCCCTTATATGTGGCATCTAAAAGGACATGATACAAATGAATCTTACTTACAAAACAGAAACAGACTCAGAGACTTAGAGAACAAACTTATGGTGGCCAGGAGGAAGGCTGGGGGAAGGGATAGTTAGGGAGCATGGGATGGACAGGTACACACTGCTATATATAAAATGGATAACCAAAATGGACTTACTGTAGAGCAGTCTGCTCAATATCATATGGCAGCCTGGATGAGAAGGGAGTTTGGGTGAGAATAGATACATGTGTATGTATGGCTGAGTCCCTTTGTTGTTCACCTGAAACTATCCCAACATTGTTAAGCAGCTATACTCCAATACAAAATAAAAGGTTTAAAAAACAAGTCTGCAACTGGCTGTCTCTGGGGTCTTGAAAAAACTCTAAGATGCCCTTTCATCAACAAGTTTTAGTATTTTGTTTACAAATGGTGACCTTATCAAGCAAATCTTAATTTTGCACAGTGGGAACTGTACGCTTTGCTTAAAACAACAAAAACTTTCCAAAACCTTCTACATAAAATAACCGTATCATAATTAAATATGTTCAGTTCAGTCACTCAGTCGTGTCCTACTCTTTGCGACCCCATGGACTGAAGCACGACATGTCCCCCTGTTCATCGCCAACTCCCGGAGTTTACTCAAACTCATGTCCATTGAGTCGGTGATGCCATCCAACCGTCTCAGCCTCTGTTCATTGGTTAAGCAACACCAGATTCTTGCGGCTGACACTGTTACATCCATTTTCTCAGGATAAGCTGAATTTTCTGAATTTAATGACTGTGACACATCCAAACTGAAGTGTGGTATCCTGGACTGAATCCTCAAATATGAAAACTAGTGAAATCCAAGTGAAGTCTGGGGCTTCCCTGGTGGTTCAGAGGTAAAGAATCTGCCTGCCAATGCAGGAGACATAGTTTTGATCCCTGGGTCAAGAAGATCGCCTGGAGGAGGAAATGGCAACCCACTCTAGTATTCTTGCCTGGGAAATTCCATGAACAGAGGAGCCTGGTGGGCTACAGTCCATAAGGTCACAAAGAGTCGGACATGACTGAGTGACTAAATAACAACAGCAACAAAGTGAAGTTAGTCAACAGTTTACCACTAACCAACTCTTACTTTTGACAAATGTCCCTTGTCAAGTAAGATGTTAGCACTTAGGAAAACTGAGTGAGGGATATTTGGAATGCTTTGCACTATCTTTGCAGCTTTTCCATAAATAGGAAATCATTCTTGGAACCTGAAACACAGATGTTTACAGTGGCTTCATTCATAACTGCCAAGATTTGGGAGCCATGCAGTTGTCCATCAGTAGGTGATGGGTAAATCAACTGTGGTCCATCCAAATAATGGAATATTATTGTTGTTGTTTAGTCCCTGAGTTGTGTCTGACTCTCTGAGACCTGCCAGGCTACTCTGTCCATGAGATTTTCCCAGTCAAGAATACTGGAATGGGTTGCCATTTCCTTCTCCAAGGGATCTTCCCAATCCAAGGATTGAACCTGTGTCTCCTGCACTGGCAGACAGTTTCTCTACAACTGAGCCACCAGGGAAGCCCCAGTGAAATATTACTCAGTGATAAAAAGAAATGAGCTGCCAAGCCATGAAAAGACATGGAGGAACTTCAGATGCATAAGACTACGTGGAAGAAGCCCATCTCAGAAGGCTACAGACTGTATGATTCTCACAAAGACTCTCCTTGAACACACTTGAGTCAGACTCCTCTGTGCAGACTAGACATCAATTTGTGTACTTCTGTGTCTCTCTCTGCATTCTAGCAAGAATCCTGCTGAGTTGCTGGACCCTTACCGAGGTGATGCCTGTTCTCAGGAGGCATCCTGTGAGGTCAGTGCAGCCAGAACGCCCTCTCACCTCTGATGCTTCCTCTCACCTGCTCTCCAGCCCCTCACTCCTGGACTACAACCCCCTCCCTCTTCCCTCCTGCAGGTGGATGTGAGGCCAGTCTCTCCCCACTATGGCAAAAGTCCCTCAAAGTACTTCCCTGAGTAAAATCAGCTAAACCATGCTTTAAGAAATGTCATGTTTTCGTCACTAATTCCAAGAACATAACATTCCGGAAATGGCAAAACTATGGAGACATTGCAAAAATCAGAGACAGGGAGAGATGACGAGGTGGAACACAGGGATTTTTAGAGCAGTCCGACAATTCTGCACAATATAGTAATAGTGGACGCATGTCATGACACGTGTCAAGAAGCACAAAATGTGCAATACCAAGAGTGAACCATAATACAAAATTACTCCAAAATTAGAAGTTTATTAAAACAACAAAGAATTCAGTATATTATATACCTCAACAAGTCAGTTTTGGAAGTAACAAATAGTAAAAATATATCTGAATGAATACAATAACTATTGTGTTTATTTTATTTATTTATTGTACTTATTGTATGTATTTACTGTATTTAGTTCTTCAGTCATATCTAACTCTTTGTGATCCCCCCATGAATCCACCAGGCTCCTCTGTCCACGTAATTCTCCAGGCAAGAATACTGGAGTGGGTTGCCACTTCCTCCTCCAGGGGATCTTCCCAACCCAAGGATCAAACCCACATCTCCTGTATTGGCATGCAGATTCTTTACCACTCAGCTACTGGGGAAGCTCAACAATGATTATAGTTATGAGCTATTTCATAACTTCTCAGGTAGAAGATGGGCCAGTATGTTTGCAACAGAAAAATTCAACATTCAGTCCTTTAAATGACTACATATTTACTCAAAACTAGGAAGATATGAATAATGGAAAGACTCTTGACTCAAACCCTCTTCTGACAGGGAAGAGTTCTCATTATTTATAGGGGCGACTTCAGGATGACAGAGGGGACCTAGCGCACTGACTCCGCAAAAGAATGAATCCCATTTTTAAATAACATGACACTCTCTGCTGCTAGATGCTAAAGACACTTATAAATAATACATGTTCTCCTCCTTCATGAATTAACTTCCAAACTTACAGATAAAAAACCTTGGGGGAAGGAGGAGATGATTAACAAACCTTATGCATAATGTACACAATATCCAGGAAGACAGTTTACATAAAGCTCATTTCCAAACTGTAGGCAATATTGTTATCTACTTTCAGAAAATCTCAAGTCCATGGGTGTCTCCATACGTACTGAACTCACTGTCAGGTTTGATTTTTGAAGGTCATGGAGGTTGTTTCTCTCTTTTCAGTCATGAGGGGAGGGGCCCGAGCAGTAACAGGAATGGGGTTCAGAGAGTATTTTATTGGGATACCAGGTTTGTATCTTAATTACAGTTGTTTTAAAGAGAGATTTGAACAAGAACAGCACATCACTTAAGACCAATCAAAGCAATCTATAAATTTTCTGCACAATTTAACTGCGTGAAAAAGATGATAAGTTAGGCTCTGGCTGGCATGGTAGATTTCAGTGCAGGTTGACAATCGCAGGGAAAGGAGCCTGGAGCACTCTGTGCCTGGCTCCACCCCCATTGGTCACCTGGGACCCCTAGGAGCGGGGGCTGAACATCCCTAGCATATCACAGGCCTCAGGTGACTCCGACAGCCCTCCTTGAAGGTGCTCCTCCTGGGTCCAGAGCAGGGACTCTTGGAAGTGAGTGCTCAGTCCAGGGGAGGACACTGGTATGCACAGGGTGTTCGTTCACTCTCCAAACACCCACCTCTCCGGGAAGTGTGAACTTTAAAGAAGAGAGAAAATCAGAGATTCAGAGACTTGCTGAACAACAGAGCCAGGACTTGAGCCCAAGGTTGTGCTCCTGTTCTCACTTCTTGAGTGAGTGATCACAGCCCACCATCAACAACCATCTCACCCTAGCAATCACAGCTCTCCATCAACAACCACCTCACCCCAATGACGACACTCCCCCATCAACAACCACAACAATAACCACACCCCCCCATCAACAACCAATCACAGTCAATGCACAGGTCTACCCACCCCACGCACCAGCACCCAGGCCACAGACCCCATTTTGCCTTCCCTTGGCCATTCAGGCTGTAGTGGCCGCTGGCTGGATGGCCATTCGGGAGGGAGCTGTTGGTAAGGGTAAGAGGGGCGAGAGTGGGGATTCCACCCGAGGTCCTGGGAAACTGTTCTAGGAGGCCAGGAGGAGCCAGTCCTTCCATTGATGAAAAGTGTGCTATGAGTGTAGGATGAACTGTGTAGTAAGAAGAGGCTGGTGCTGAATTAAGATTATTCCCCAATATAAACCAGATGTACAAATTGACTTAAATTCCTAATACGGAAAAGCCATCCAACAGAAGAAAGTCTGAGGAAGTACTGACTACAGAGCTTTTAAATCAGAAATGGGACTCTGATGTGGTCTAGGACTTACCGAGGTCAGATATAAAGCATAGTGCACATTTACCCCTCCAGCTTGGGCAGGTAAAGAAAATCAAATTTTTGCCTTCCTTCACTAAGCTAGTATTCACCCACCTATAGCCAACAGAAAGAAGAGCCACAAAGTTAATATTTTGCAGCCAGATCATGTTTCATGTCATGTGACCAGTCATATAATTTTAAGAGTTAGTGATAGAGATTAGCAAGAAAAACCCTATTTTATACTGAATTAAAGAAACTCAGAAAATCTAACATGCTAAGCTGCTTTTTCAAGTCTTGGGTGGAAGAAGATTAAAAAAAAAAAAAAAACCCCAAACAGACTGGAATGGTTATAAAACTTTCTTGGCCCGGCAGTTGTCACTAACTCCTAAAATAATATCAATCCTATTCTGGGACTCTCTAAAAAGGATCCTGTTAACTGTGGCTTGCTGCTTTAG